CTTAACTGGTTGGTTCTCCGTATTCACACAAACATTAATCGAATTGGTTTTTGGCGCTGGTTGATTGAAGTTTTAAGTAAATTGGCTTGAATTCTCCGTATTCACACAATTATTGATTGAATTAGTTTCTGCTGTTGGTTGACTAAAGGTTTGCGTAAATGGTTTGAATTTCCGTTGACGTTGCTTGAACACCACAATATGCTGCGCTGGCGCCGAAAAGTTTAGGGGTTGAGGGTCTAGGGTTTAGGCTTCAGGTCCTGAGGCTCTCTGCAAGAAAGCCGGGTGAGTTTTCGGGCTGCGATTCGGACGCGACGGCAGCTGTAGACGGATCCAAAGAGTTCTGATCCGTAGTGAACGCAAATAGCTGAGGCCATGCTCAACAAGCCTGCAGAACACCTTACTGAGCCAACTCACACTGAAACGCTGACACCTGCACTGGGCATCCCAGAGCTCATCTGACATTAACCCAGTAGCCAGCACCAGTGACACAGGCGACAGCATGTCATGTGAGTAGAGCAAGAGTAGCGTGGGACACGCCAAACTGGTGCTGCTCTTGCTTGCATGTGGAATGCTCTCGCCAGGGCCCTACTTCTCTTTATCGATCCAAAGTGCACACTGCACGGGACCGACTCAGTGCATGGAAGCTAGTGAGAAAGCAACGAAGCTCAGGTACCGCACATACAACTCCGAGGACAGCGTCTTCCAAAAATGTCCAGCAGTTTTGCTTGCTGCCTCCTCTTTCTGCTTAGGTTGGAGCGTGAATAGTGCTGTGCTCAGGATCACCGGAGAAAGGCATTGATCGACAGCATCACGGCTGCTTCCGAGTTCTTTGAGTGGGTTTAGGGTGACGGGTTTACCTTGCATCACGCATTGCTAATGCACATGCCATGGCTACCCCAAGGCAAATGGTATCGCTGCCGAAAAGGGCATGAGCTCCGTACCCTTGGTGCTGGACTGAGTGAATCGCCGTTGCAGGATTCCGTTTCCCATTTGTAAGAGTTCATGGAACCAGGGCGAACATCATTTCAGACCTCTGCAGCAGGGCAAGTGTTGTGACTTCGTCTGGAAAGGCAGCCATGACTAAGCATCGAATACTTTGCAAAGTGTAGGCTTTGGAGCAGGGGAAGGAGTAGCCGCCCATCGCAATGCACACAGGACACGTTGTTACCTTGGCCAAGGTGGCATGTAGATACATTTGGCCCCAGGAAATTCCACATGAATAACCCATATCGCTTAGTTGAAATGTGATCCACCAATTGAAGGAAGTATCATGCACCATAGTCAATCAAGTTGTTTTCGTCGGGATTTCTTCGATCGCGACCCCGAGGCTTGCCGTACTTGGGGGTTACCTGCAGCCTTTGTGGTCGAGTGTTACCCTCCGGCCTCTTGGCATCGATGGGGCTCATGCTGGCTTGCTATGGGTATGTGTCCGGGGTATGTGTAGGACATGCCAATGTGCCTATATGCAGATATGCAGATATGACGACATGATCGAGTAGCATCGATTTAGAAGAGTCGTCATCGACGTAGTTCGCTGTGGATCGTAGTTAGTCGCAGCCGTAGTCGTGGTCGCAGTCGGAGTCGTTGTTGTAGTCATCGTACTCTTCGTAGTTGACGTAGTCGTCTTGGCGTCGTCGTCGTAGTGGCAGCAGGAGCAGGACCTGGAACAGGACCTGGAGCAGGAGGAGGAGAGGAGGAGGAGCAGGAGCAACAGCAAGAACAGCAGCAGCAGCAGCGGCAGCGGCAGCAGCAGCAGCAGCAGCAGCAGCAGCAGCAGCAGCACCTGCAGCAGCAACAGCAACATCCACAACATGCACAACATCCACATCTCCGCAGCATCCACAACCACGACTACAATCACGAGGTACCACGACCACAACCACAAACCCAACCGCAGCCGCAGCCACAACCACAGCCACAACAACAGCGACAACAAAGACAACGAGCAACAGCAACCGCAACAACACTAGTCGTAGCAAGGAAATGACACATGCAGGGTCGACTCAACCTCAACGAGTACCATTAACACATGATTTGGATGCAGCGGTTTCTCGCAGCCGCCTGAAGGAAGCTGCCTCCACAGCTGCTCAATTTGAGCCTTGACTGCCCATCGTTCAAGGTTTTTTTAGAGTGTAAGGTGCACTCTTTATGGGTTCGGGCCCTGTTCAGGGTGTTGGGTTCCGAGTGGCAGCTGCTCTGTTTTTTCGAAGTACAAGTTCCCTGAACCAACCAAAGTATCAAGTGTCCCAACCCGAAACCCTGAGCGTAAGGCCGACAGTCACGGTAGAATCCTTTCAGGGCCCAGAGAGCCAGAGAGGTTTTCAGGGTTTGGGGTATCGGGAGCAACTTCGGCCAACCCTGCTGGGGAGGGATTGCGGGGCGACATTTGACACCGCCACCTCCACCTAACGCCCCAGGAGGCTCGAAAGCCCTAAACCCTAAACCCCCTAAACCCCCTAATCCTCCTAAGCCCTAAATCCTAAAGCCTACGAGCCTCGAAAGCTGCGCAACGGATGGAGGCAAGTGGGACGCCTGCACGGACTGCCTCCAGCGACCGGAGTCGGCTCGCAGCTTTCAGAGTCCCGGGCCCAGGGTGCAGGGCGATGCTACAAGTTAAGACTAGGATTCCTGAGTAGTACCCTTTTGCCCTTTTTATTCTAGGGCCTCCTTATGAAAACCGAATGCTAGGGAAAAAGGGCACCCTTATTATTTAGGGGTCACTCAGGAACCTAGAAGAGCAAGAAAACATATAGCACCACGAAGTGCAGGAATACCATCGTAGTGGACGGATAGTTTAGCAATATAGTAACATAGTAAGATAGTAACATAGTATATAAGATAGTAATACGTTATCATAGCAATATTTTCCAATCTAGCAACGTAGCAATTTTGTAGTACCTTAATAAAGTAATATAGTGATACGCATAGACACTATAATAATCTAGCATAGCGGTGCTGATCAGAAGACTGTAGGATGTATAAATCAATAAACATCGTGACTTTAGGTGAGGAAAGCATACATGTTTGACTGAGAGACAGACTGACAGCTGAAAGGCGAAAGTCGCCAGTCTATTGTTTAGTGACCAAGTATCTCGAGAGAGCAGGTGACCGAGCCTAGCCTAGCCACAGCATGCCACAGCCGGAACTCGGTACCCTGCCGAGGTTTGCCGAACTGTCCAGTCTGTGGAGACGAGATGGAGTCTCTCGCTGGCAGTAGACGCAAGCCACGCGCGGACTCGAGTTGTGTACACCGTGATGCTACCTATGTGCATACACTTGAATACTTGCAGTATAGTATAGTATACTAGAGTAGAGTAATTAGAGTAGAGTAGGGCGAAGTAGAGGAGAGTATAGTCTAACATATTGTATGACATAAAATAATATAGTCGAACATAGCATAATGTAGTATCATGTAATATAACGTAATATAATGTAATACATTACGCGCTGGAGCCCACATCACGCAACCAAAAGCTTGAATCTCATGTTCAGTGCATATATTGGCATACATACTCAGGTGCTGTCTTCATATATGAATAATATATATGTAGTATATTATATACATACGTACAGCACAACATAATGTAATATAATGTCATGTAATGTAACGTAATATAATGTAATATAGTGGAATATAAAGTAAAGTAATGTAATGTAGTATAATGTAATATAATGCAATATAATGTAATATAATGCAATATAATGTAATATAATGTAATATAACGTAATAGAATGTAATATAATGCAATATAATGCAATATAATGTAATGTAATGTAATGTAATGTAATGCATGCAATGAAATGTAATGTAATGTAATGTAATGTAATATAATGTAGTGTAATCTTCCCTTACATTCCTAGCCTGTTGCCCAGCCACCCGGCTAGACACGTTAACGGAGTCGCAGCAGGCCGAGGCCGATCCACACCAAGACCGGCTACTCTCCCCTTGAAAGATCTTTTTTCTATCAGATTGTATTATCTATATTACATTCTACATTACATTCTATATCACATTCTAAATTACGCTCTATTACTTTCTATCACATTCTATCACAGTCTATCACAGTCTATCACATTCTACGGGTTCTGCTGTGTGGCTAGGTGGAGCGACTACATGGGAGGCATCTACGTCAGCGGCTGGGCCTGCGAGAACCAGTGTGGTTCCAGGACTGCTTGAGGAGGTTTTTGCTTCTTTCACAAATCAGACTCACTCTGTTCTATGCAGGAGGGTAAACTGCGGCCTCTGGCGTTGGTTCTGCCAGAAGTGCAAAACCGACATCTGCGACAAGTGCCACAGGCGGAAGGCCACTTGGACCTCGAATTCTGATGCAGATCGCCACGTCAGCAGGCAGTGTTGTTGCTTGTTCCTTCCAGATACCCCCAAGAAACACTACCGTGCTCGTTGGCCATCCACAACAGGTGCAGCGAGACCGGGAGAATGGCATGCGAGAGAGCCCGAGGAGTTTGGAATTAGGCACTGGCCTCAACATGCCCAGCCAGTCTATGATACCTGCGCGAAGTCAAGTCGTCTGCACCTGCGACCTCAGCATGGGCTTGTTTAACGGCTAGTAGACTGCCGCAATAAACAACAGCGACACTTTACTCCAACTTGCCAAAACCCTAAGCCCCTAAGCCCGAAGCCGCAGAGGCACGAAGTTCCTGGATCTGTGCAAAGACCACCAGTGGGAGCAGGCAGCTCAACTTGGCCAGCGGAGTTTGTGTGGGGCGGAGGGGTGGCGCAACGATGAGGTGTCGAAGGTATATGTATACAAATATGTATGTATGTATGTATGTATGTATGTATGTATGTATAAACATACACACATTAAAACGTACGTTCGAAAGTAGACCGTATGTCTCAGCATACATTTATGTAGCATTGTATGCATGTGTGTGTGTGTGCGTATAGATGGATAGATAGATATATATATATATATGTATATATACAGTTATATACATACGCACACAAATTGGGACACTTTCAATGTGATGGGGAGCAGGACTGTACCGTCCCGAGTTATGCCTTTGTGACGCAGAGTTCGAGTGCAATGCACACATACTAATCGTAGCATATCGTAGCGATACAGCCCGTTATAATCATTCAAAACCATACTGCAGAAGCCAATGATTCTTCCTTAGCGCTTCTTCTTATAACTAAGCTATACTACGCCCTCCCAACATCCCGTTCTGACGATTGCACTAAACATAATGGGGAAAAATATTTTTCCCCATTATGTTTAGTTCTGACGATTAAGGCCCCCGTTTTGGCCTAGTAAATGCCAGCTGTCCCATTCGCAGGTGACGGAGATGCTCCAAAAGCGGCCGGGTCTTGTCAATTGCGCTTCTTGGCAGCAGATCCTTGCGCTTTGGGGTTTAGGGTCCAGGGTGACGTAGTGTTTCTTTCCCCCGCAGTCCGTGGCCGCGGCAGATGCAAGCAAACATCTTCCATGCTACCTCCGCTTGAGGCTAGGACCGCTAGGTCCGAAGTCTTCGTCTTGCATCATTATACAATATAATACAATATGACGCGATATAACAAAATCCAACATAATACAGCATTATATTCCATAACACAAATGAAATAACACAACACAGCATGATAAAGAATGTGCCATCATATATAACACTCTAAATTATAATGTCGTACAGGAATAGGCTGTTGTATAGTATAGTACATTATAATATAACATCATCCAGTAGAAAATCATTTGCAGGAGCAAGGCTTTCGTTCGTCGCTTTTTTGCCAATATCTGCAAAGTCCACAAGGCTTGCGGAATGAGATAGGGTTTAGGGGTTTAGGGGTTTAGGGGTTTAGGCTTTAGTTTAGGCTTCTGTTTCTGGGTGCTTCTGCTGCTGCTCCTGGAGCTAATCGGTTGAGCGCCTAGAGTTTGAAAGTAAGCAAACGAGACGTAGCGTTTAGGATTCAGGGTTTCATGTTCTGCGATCGTACATTGGTCGATCTTGACCTGCTGTAGCGATTCTTTTCGGAAGGACTTTGCCGCTGCTTTGTGATATTGGCCGATGGTCTCAGGGTACTCGTCATCTTCCTGCCACCTTCAGTGCCACCTTCGGCAACCCAAGACCCTACACGCAACAAGCCCCGAAATGCCTATGTAGGAGGTGGAGGGCCGTTGGTCGCCGCTACACTACGCTTCAAGCCGCTGGGCTTTTTTTGGGGCTCTTTGGGATTTCCGGATTGGGAAGGATAGCGGAAAGTCTGGCATCTGATTACTGTTCTTGTCATGGTGATTAGCATGCTGCTATTGTCATTGTGGTTACGGCTGTTGTAGATTGTAGATATTTGCTGCTATTGTTACCCTTCTTGTATGACTGTGCATTGCAGACTTTTTTTGTACATGAGACAGCTGGACAGCTAAAAATGTCCCCGTAGATGTTGTGAGGAGCCGGCAATCCTCAAATGGTGGAGCATCTGCTGAAGCTGAGCGCTGACGCAACCAGTTTTGCTGGAGACGGCAAGACGCCCCTGGAGGCATCCGCAGTCCGAATTGGTCTGGCCCCTCCGGTACCATCAAATTACGGACAACGTGGGTTCTTCTCTTCCCGTGTCCACTGCCGCCCCAAGAAGCCGATGCCAGATGTTGCTGCAGTTTTTTTTCCTACAGCCCTGAACACTAGTAGGTGGCTCGGGACAACAGCATTCGGTCACTTCTGCCCCTTGGTCGCGTGAAGGCCCTCCCTTGATGACTGAGGGTTTAGACCAGTTTAGGCTTCGGAAGCTTTCTCCTAGGGTTGAGGACTCAGCTTTCGCCCAAGAAGTCTTGGGAAATAGACCGATTGCAGCAGGAAGATGTAAGAACCAGTTCAAGTTCAGGCTGATCGGGATGTCAACGGTCACAAGGACCAAGGAGGCGTGATTGAACTGGTTGGATGTGCTTTTCAACCCAGGATGCGCTCTTGCTTTCTTCAGCCGGCCTTCACCATCTTCAACCATTATGTGCCCTGGTGCAAGCGACCTAACCTTGAAGCTGTGCAACAGTGCCCGTGCAGCTTCCATCGTAGGGTGGAAGCCGCAAGCCAGATCAGATCATCAACCATCGTCCATCCAGAACTAGCCGCATGTGGTGTAGTTCTTTAAAGTAGGGTCCCTTTTGGGGTCCTTTTTACAAGGCTGCTGTACCATATTGCGGATCTAAAAAGGGACCCTACTTTAGAGGGCTACCCGTGTAGTGTTGGCAGAAGCCTGGGGATGGGGATGGGTAGCATGCTCTCAGCCCGTTGAAACAAGGCCCCTGATTCGGCATGAACGAAGTTCCGGCGGGGGGATTCATTAGATGAGCCATTCGGACCGGGAGGCCACTTTCTCTGAAGGCTTACGTTGGTAAACTGTTGATCCAAAACTCAGTCGCTTTTGAAGGAAGATGCTAGCCCTTGTGTCCTTGCTACAGACTTTGTTGCCGAGGTGCCAAGCTACATGAGCCACGGAAGCCTTTCTTAGGAACCCACAAGAAGGAGGCACCCTCATAAACAGGACCCTAAAGGGGACTCTGATTTGAAGGGCTAGCCACATAGGGAACGGAGTTTGCATCGAACGCCCCTACAATCCATACGAAAGACCAGGACGCCCCAAAGGATTCATTGGCTTATGCCTACTTGGAGGAATCCCTTCCTGCATAGATAGGACCAGCCTCTTTCCTTTTCGCAAGTCTCCGAGTTCCGGAACGGAAGCTTCCTATGGGTAAGTCTCTAGATTAAATGTCCCTTTTGGGGTCCTTTTTACAAGGGTGCCGTACTTTTTTTGGGGACCTAAAAAGGGGCCCTATGTGCTGTCCGAATCCTACGAGTCGAACGTTAAGGATGCCAACAACATTGGCGTCATCGATGCGATGGAGCTTGGATGGGCCGTTTCGCCAAAATTACAAAAGGGTGGCAGTGGACGAATGCATACTCAAGAATTGAACCTGTACAGGTCATGCAGTGCAGGGCCTCATGACTATTTTCTGGGCTCTAAGGCAGATGGTTTGCTCTCCAAGAGCAGGTCCCTGTTCCGGCCCTGTTCAGGTTGTGAAGTCTGTGCGCCCGCGCATCACCGACGCAGAGACTCAGCAGCTCTTTGCAAGTTGCTTAGCCAGCCCTTAGAGCTGTGCAGCTGGGGAGTTTCCTTGGAGATAGATGGATAGTATGTGGATCTTGGTGACACACTTGCTTGACGCCTCTGTGCCGTACTGTACAAGGTATTTCCGATAGCTTCTGATGACATTCTTGGGAATGACCTGCTTAGGCTGCGATTTGAATCGCAATGGCGAGATCGACTTCGTCGAGTTCGTCCTTTGGCTGTCCGGGTCCTGGTTGCGTCGACTTGCAAAACAGTCTGTCTCTCAGCAAAGGGACCCATTCCCACCCATTCCTGAAATAAGACTAACCCCTAAAGCCTAAGCCCTGCACCCCTAAGCCCTAAACCGTCTGTTTCTCCGCCCAAGGTTCGCTGGAGGAGGTAAGTACTTGGCGCAGGCCGGCTCCCGGCTCAGGTACTCTAGAAGCTCTGGGGTTCCTTATTATTATTAGTATTATTATTATTATTGTTATTATTATTATTATTAAATCTAATGAAAGTATAAACGCCAAACGCCATCTCAAACCCCATTCGAATCATCACCATCGTTATGACCATCATTTTTATCATCACAACGTGCCGAGAATCTGGAACTACCAATGTGTACGGTCGTCGTGGTTATCTTGCATTCTTGTCAGCTCGGTCTTTTTGCTCCTCACCCTGGTCATGTTGGTCATCTGGGCGGGGGGGGGGTCAAGATGACCAGGTCATCTTGCAATCTTGGTCATCTTGCCGCACTTGCCCCACTTGCCCGACTACTTCTCAGATGACCAAAATGACCGGTCAGGTTGCACCCCCCTCGCAATGGGGCAAGATGACCAAGATTGCTGGTCAGGTTGCACCCCTTAATGATTCCAGATTCCCGGCACACTGTATCATCAGCAGAATCCCGCCACCATGCCGACGACTCCGACGACGATGACGATAGTGACAACGTCGACGACGGCTGCATCTACTGCCTCTGCAGAGCGATGACGGCTTCGGTGGCTATTGCTGCTTCATAATTTCATATTTGCAGGCTACCTAGCCACCGTTGTTCATACCGCTGATGCTCCGGCACTACATGGCTCGATTCTGATGTTTGTTATTGCTTCTGAGGTTCGTTTTGACATGTTTTGATGTGCCGACGGGCGCAGGACATTCTGGCCAGCGCCGAAAGAATTGCCAGTGGCTCTGTGTCCCGGCAGCGGCATCAACGACCAAGTGCCGAGTTCAATCTTTGCCTGACGAAGCTGGTACCTTAGAGCCTTAGAATCTGCTGCGGTGTCCCCGAGGTGGGAGTTCAAGCGCTGAAGCTGAAAGGCGTACTGAGCAAGCGCGCCGGCCTTCCTCCCCATGTGTATGAGCTCCCCGGCGGCCCAGTAAGGTTTGCTGTCCACAAAGAATTTACCACTCCGGGGTTTTGAGTGGTGCTGCACTCGGCTTCCTATGTACGACTCCTTCAAAAAACCTTTCCACGTAGACCTCCGGCACCAGGCGCCCGGTGGAGACGGTTACCGAGTTTTGGCATCCGAGGACACCCGAGTACTCGCCCATGCCGCAGATGGCTCATCACCCTCCACGGGCCGGGTCTTCTTTGCAAGGGGCAGAGGTTGGTCCTTTTTTCATTCAGTACATCGACATCTCGGTGTTGATGTGCCATGACACCGCCGCTGCTGGTGAGAATGATAAGAATGAATCAGGATAATGGCTGTGGTATTTGCGAGGATGCTGATGATGGCTTGTGGTGACGATGATGATGATGGTGTTCATGACCATGAGAATGATCAAGATTGTTCTCCTAATCTCGAAAAAGCATATACTCTTCGTGACTGTATGCAGTCGTCGATCAGGGCATCTTCACCTACAAACTTCTTCTTCTTCTTTTTCGACTCTGTAGTTGTTCCACCTTTTGCCGTACCAGGCAGAGAGAGGAACACAAGGGTTGAGATTGAACTTACGGCGGCACCAAGTTGGTTTCTTTCTGGAGTGGAGACTACTGTGGCGTGTGAACATGAGCATGACTTGCTCCGAGCATTCTACATCAAGTACTGCGTTTCATACGCCACAACAGTCCGTTCTGTTTACTTTCACAAACTTGTATTGGCAGGAACCGTCGCGTCGAGGTTCTGGCCCAACTGCCCGTGTTATTCTCTGTTTGCTAAGATTTTTCTTTTCTCTGCCCAACACTGGGAGAGGGTGCCATTGCTCTTCAAGATCTTCGTGATCATCTTTGTCTGGTCCTTGCCATGACTCCTAGACCCTAAACCCTAAACCTGACTCCTAGCCCTGTATGACTCCTTTTTCTGTTCAGGGAGAGAAGCTGCTCGCCTGTACCGAGTACGTCCAGCAGCTCGCGCCGATGCTGCCAGGACCTGCCGAGATCTACCTACCGGAAACCATCCAGAGAACCCAATACCCCTTAAGTAAGGAATATACCTTAAATTATAGGGTTCTTAACAATATGATTTAAGGTATATTCCTTAATTAAGGGGTAGTGGGTTCTCTGGGTTTGATTCCAAGCAGGGCAATAAGAGGGCACGAAGGCTCTAGAACGCCTCTTACCACCGACGCGAAGGTGTTTCTGTATTCAGTCGACAGCTTGATGCCCAAGTCTAAGTGACAACTGAAACTATGTTTTTCTACGTCCTGCACTTTTGTTGCCTTCCTCTCTGTTGCCACTACCATGAGCATCTTCAGCAGTACTGATGAAGTTGTTGTGTGGCTATTGTCAGCTCTCTAGCTCTCATGCGCGATTCGCCTAGTTCAGTCCGAGTTTTCTGATTCGATCGCCATTTTCCTCCTCTTGTCACTGCTGTCGCGATGTTGTTCCCTGTCCATGGCCAGTCCATGCTGCAGAAGCCCGGATCAGTAGCAGCAAGCGCGGCGCTAAGTAGTCGCGGTGATGGTCAGGCATCATCTTGCCCGAGGGTTGTCTGGAAGAGGCGCGGGTCAGAGGGTTGTGAGAGCCTCCACGACCCTCAACCGTTTTGAGCGCCTCAACAGGAAAACACAAGAAATGGATGTGGGATCCAAAGGGTGACTTCGGACTCACAGCTCTAAACCCTCACAAGCCCGAACCAAGACGGCCACCCCCTGGACCTACAGCCTACAGCCCTTAAAGCCAAAACCCAAAACCCCAAAACCCTAAACCCGGAACCCTAAACCCTAACCGGACCAACCGGACCCTAACCCTTATCTGCCCTCAGCCCCTACAGCCCCTGAACAGGTGGAGCGGATAGCCCAGCTGCGAGCAGAAGTGCTCCACAGTAACGACTTGAGCTTTGAGCCGCTTGGAGAAAAAGAGGGTTCAGGTTTAGGGCTTTAGGGCTTTAGGGGATTTGAATTTGGGGGTTTGGGGGTTTAGGGCTTTAGGTCTTTATTGGAATTCCACTTTGGAAGCTTCTTAAGGGGTTATGTAGGGCCGTTGGGATTTGGAGATGTCAGGGGCTTCTTTGACGCGGCGCAGCCGAGGATGATCTGCTCCGTGGTGATGTGGACCTTCGCTGCTTCGTCGCAAGAATCAGAGCAGGGTCCCTTTCATTCAGTCATGGTGCCTAACCCCTAAGCTCCTAAACCCTAAACCACTAAACCCTAAACCCTAAACCCCGTAGAGCAAGTGGCTGATTCCGGCTTTCTGTAGTTGTGGCCTGTGCTCCTGGCCTGGGCCTGCTAACGAAGAGAGTTGCAGCACCGGGCCTCTCCAGCTTGATACTGCAGGCTTCTATGGCAACCCCGTCAAAGAACCCGTTCAAGGACTGCATGAAACATATCGTGGCCCGTTGAGGCTCATTGAGTACCACTGGTTTTCGTTGAGGCTTTTGCGTTCTCAGGCGTTCCAGGCCAAACATGCATACACTCTTGGCCTTGAATTCCTGAGATCGCAAGAGCCTCAGCGAAAACCATTGGTACTCAATGAGCCTCAATGGCCCTCAACGGTCCACGCTAGGTTTCGTGCCGTCCTTGACTCCTTGAAGGGGGTTCATTGACGGGGTCCCGTTTGGAAGTTCCTGACAGCAGGACCTTCTCGCTAATGCCATGCAGTCTGAGGTTGCTGGTTGCCTGTTGTCACAGTTTCCCACATTTACCGGCAGCGCCGCTGCTGAGACGAGGGCACAAGCACTCTTCTGGCTTTTCTAGAAGTAGCTGTGCTACCCGTGCATCAGCAGGAATCCCTGCAGACAAGATCCCATAAGAACGTCTACTGTCGCCCAGGATGCGGTACTTGCCACTGAAGAGGAATCCTTCCCGAAGGACAGCCGAAGGGGGGAGGGCTTCCAATCAGATTTTCCATGGCCCTTAATCCTCTAACTCCACATGCAGCTTCAAGCGTATTCCTGAACGGCCTACACTACACATGGACTTACTCTAGCGAATTATTCTAGGGAAACAGTCGACCGGGCCTTATGCTGATGCTCGTCGTTTTTGTCGTTGTGATGGTCTTCACCATGATATGCATAACACAGGCGAGGCCCTTCCGAAGAGCACATGGCACTAACACTTTCACACGAACGGATTTGCCAACGAAGCCGCTCTCCCCGGAGTCAAACCCTTTACCAAGGGCAAACAGGCAAACAGGTACCAAGTGCAACACATTCTCTTCATTTTCCGAGATCTGCGAATCTTGTGTCATGTTTGTGGCATGCAGCTCGCCCCTGTACCCTGACCTGAACATGCAATTCCATGTCCGGGCCCATGCCCCTTGTCCCGTTTTCCGCGCACAACCTAGCTGTCGAGCACAACAAACGCACATCCTTGTCTCGTCAAGTACGGCCTTGCAGTTTCACTCCTTTCACTCCTATGTCCGTCAATGTTGCTGCACCTGCTGCAGTTGCTGTGGGCCCTCGGCTGTCTTACCGCCCCCCGGGCGCAAGGAGAAGTCTTTTCAGTACCTCATGAATCAGTACGTGGACCAGCGCGACACAGAGTTCTTCTTTGCGGCGCGTGGGTGGCCAGGCAGCAGGGATGCAGGCCTGCAGTAGAAGCTCAAGTTTGAACAATCCGGAAGCTTTCATAGCCGCTGACATTGGCATCGCTGTGACTTCCGTGAGCCGTGCCCTTGCGAAGCTCAGGTACTTCTACTACTTCATGACAGCCTTGGACTTACTTCCCCCAGCTGAGGGGGTGGTATACCAAGGCGGCAGCACGAACTCAAATCGGTTGGATCGGATGATCGAAGTTGTTCGGATGAGAGCTGAGGTGCCTTCGGCCTTCAATACATGCTCAAGCAGTAACCAGTCCATTTCCTGCAAACTCATGACATGAGCGCAGGAATCCCGAAGGAGCATGCTGCCGCTGTTCGAGAGGCTGGGGTTTGGAAGAAATCTAGGCAATAGTGGTGCGCGCCAAGTTCTGCAGAAGGATCAAGACATGTCTTCAACAACCACTGATAATTAAGCCAAGGTTCGGAAGAGCCCTGTGTGTATATCTATACACTCATACAGATCAAGATGCACAAACCGTCAATCATCCATTTTTTCCTATGCATCCAATGGATTTGACCTGGGTGTCTCAACTTGGGTTCCCTTTTCGATACCTACTCTGATAACAGCTTAGCCAAGTAGGGACCGTGGAAAGCCGTGGGTTTGCAAGTCTGCTTGGACTTCAGATTCTCATCCCGGGCACGAGTCTGATCTGGCGCAGCTTCACCACAGCCCTCCAGCTCTGGGGCAACATGGCGCTCTGTCAGCCAAGTTGATGGCGGGACTTTAGGATCCCCCAAACCCTAAACCAGGTGGAGGTTTGCGAAGCTTCTGGGTCCCCCCGGTGGCCAGGCTGAGGATGCTCTTGAGCTAACACTCCGAAGACATGATGGCCACCATGCGAAAGCTGTAATTACGTTCAGCAGCACGGGTTCCATAGACGGCATTTCCGGGACCGCCCGAGGTGGCGTATGAGAAGGGCATCATTCTGCAGATCACTCTGCTGCCCCGGGAGCTCCGGGCGAAGGGTGTGAAGTATGAATCCAAGGGCCGACGCCCAGCTGCAATTCTGACGGACTCATATACTATAATATACTACACTATATTATACTCTCAGACACTTGGATTCTGGAGCCATGTTGAATCTATACAAACTTTTCGCGAGAAAGGACTCGCAGGTTTGGGCTGGGATTGAACGAGTGTGCCGGTGGACGAGCAAGTTTTTGTGCTCTGTGCTCCATCTCTGTCTGTGTCTATATGTATGTGTACATATATATATATGTACTGATATGTCTCTGTATGTGTATATATACACATATACCTATCTATCTATCTATCTATCCGGCTACCTAGCTAGCTACCTAGCTAGCTACCTAGCTAGCTACCTAGCTAGCTACCTAGCTAGCTCCCTAGCTATCTATCTCTCTCTCTATCTATCTATCTATCTATCTATCTATCTATCTATCTACATATATATATATACATATATATAAGTAAATAAATAAATAAACAAATAAATAAATAAATAAATAAATAAATATATATATAGAGAGTTCACATATATATATATATATACATATGTATATATATATATGTATATGTATATCTGTCTCCTCTCTCTCTCTCTCTGTGCCTCCCCTTTAGATTAGCTGTTCTGCCAGGACCAGGTGTACTGCCTTTTGCGGTCTCTGCAGAAACCTCCGAGGTGACATCAGCAAGCTCAGTGCACTGACAGGCTCCAGTGAGGTGCATCCGTCGTGGGAGGATTCGAGGCTGTCCAGACTTCTGTAGACAAGCCTCCTGGGCAGGTCCTTCTGTTGCCGAACATCCGGCTTGGCGTGGGCGCAACCCTCAGCTGAGTATGTGCTTACATAGTTCAAACTATCGACAGTACGTTGCGCAGTTTGGTTTCTCTATATCATGCTTCTTGGCGAGGTCTAGATTATGACTGTGATATACAGTACAGGGACCCAGTTATGACATTCCATGCCTATCTTCACGCCGCTCGGTGCTCCACGGCGCTTACCAGAGCCAACGCATCGCCTCCAAACCAAATTGGCTAGAAGCAAGATTCTTTGCACGAGGTCCGGAGACGGTGAAGAAGGGTATTCCCGTGATCGAACTTCGGGAGATGGAGGAGGAGCCTCCAGTTTACGGCAATGCATCTTTCTCATTGGTTGACCCGCCCCCTGGAGTCGTGAAAAATCACATCTGGATTTTGAGAGCTGTGGAGGACACCGCAATCACCCTCAACGCGGAAGACTTCGACTAGGCCTTCTAGGCCTGGGGCCTTCTCGGGCTCGGGCCGTTGTCTACTTCCCCCCAAAAGAGAGAATCGAAGAGGATGGTGTTTAAGGCAAGGAGGATGACGGTTGATGTCACTTTATGCAACCTCAGCCTCCAATCAACACGTCCCGGCTTTGCTTTGAGCCAGTTCAGTTTAGCCTTGGCTGAGGCCGGGGACTCATCGTCCAGATTTGGTCCTTGTTGGATACTATTTTACATGGTTGTTATCACAAAACCCAATAAGGATTAACAAATGATCATTATTTTTTAGATCCCCAACAAGGAACCAGTTGAGAGCGCCTCTAAATCGCGGCAAAATCGCGAAGCCCTGAAGAAGGCGAAGTCAAGCCCTGAACGGTTCCTCGGCAAGCAGCATAGGGTACAGCCATGCCAGAGAAGGGTCTCGGACCTACACAGGTCTTGTTATCATGTCATATATATATATACATATGAAATTTATTCCTATATCTATATATACATATATGTGTGTGCGTGTGTGTATATATATATATATGTATAAAATGCCGTGCACCAGCATACATGCTTGGCACCCGAATCTGCATCGTCCTATGGATCAAGCCGCATAGTGGCGACTTGCAATACCAAGTAGTGGCAAGAAGTAGGATCCACAAAGGATGATACACATTCTGTTCATCTCGACAGAATGCCCTGAAATCAGTAATCTCGATCCCCACTTCCAGCTCGGTCCCCGAAAGGGAGCTTCTGCAGATTCAGATCTCACCCAACCTTTCCTCAAGTCTTTCATGGGAGGTGTGGACGGAGATTTAGCAAAGAGCGCCGCGCTGCCTTCCCCTTTCTTTTTATACCTCACTTTGCCAAAGTCGTGGCTGCCATGGCAGAGATCGCCTCGGTAGTCCCGGAGCTTGATGCGCCTGGGCCTGGAACCGGGGAGTCTGCAGAAGGCGGGGTGTCCAAGCCCAGTAAGAAGGAAGGGGCGCGACAGCCGCTGAGCACTTTCAAGACCTACGTGAACCTGGTGACGGTGGTGATCGGCGCAGGCATCATGGCCCTGCCTCAGCTCCCTCTTCGAAGCGGCTGGGTTCTCAGCTCCCTGATTCTGGTCTTGGTCCTCCTGTCCTCTGTGGAAAGCGGCTTACACATGTGGAGGGCCTTCATGGCAAGTCGGGGAAGCTTTGAGATGTTGACTTACGGAGACTTGGGACGGGAGGCCTGGGGTCCTCTGGGCGAGATCCTCGCAAATCTGGTGATCAACATCTTCCTCTTCGGCATCTACTCGGCTTACGCCGTGCTGATTGGAATGCAGCTTGAAAACATAAGTCAGCAAGCCTTGGAGAAGCGAGTCTGGATACTGATCCTCTACCCGGTCTTTGTGGCTCTGGCGCTGACTCCGAACCTCTCCGCTCTCTCAAAGCTCGTGCCCGTGGGTATGCTGGCCGCCTGCGCCACGGCGGCCTTCATCGTTGGCAAGTCCCTGGCGGACGCGTCTCACTGGCAGACATGGGACCAAGAGATACACTTTGCTTGGCCGCAGGCACTGGGTACTTCTGAAACTCCAGTTTCAGAGAAGGCACTGAGAGGGGTTGCTTTGTTGCAAAGCTGCGTCGAGTTTCAGTCGCCCCTGCCAGGAGTCCCTAATGTCGCTTGGGGTCGTGTTAGCGACCTGCATCGGCGCTGTGGCCTTCCAGCCCGTGGTTCCTGCCGTCCTCCAAGACATGGGGAAGCCCGAGAAGTTTCCTCTAGCCATGCTGGCTGCCTTGGTCACCTGTGGCTGCCTCTATATAGCGGTGATGCTCTGCGGCTACTACGGCTACGGTGCCTTCATTCGCCAGGACATCGTGCAGTCCATGACCCACGCGCCGAAAGACCTTCAGGAAGCCTTCGAAGATGAGGCCGAGGCCTGGAACTGGACCGGAGAGAAGAGCCTCTGGGTGCCAGCGCTGGTCTCGAGCTTGGTGCTCCTTAACATCGTCTTGAGCGACCGTGGTCGCACTCGGAAGACGGATCCCCCGAATCCCTAAGCACCCCTACCGATCGGTGGTCTGTCCTGCTGAAGCCTTGAGGCATGCCTATCATCATGATGGCGGTCTTCTATTCCGTTCAGGAGTCTAAAGCGCTGGCTCCTTACGTGAAGCCCGGCTCGTGGGCCAACTGGGTCATGCGCGCGACGCTGGTCACGAGCCTCTTGTCCGCAGCCCAAGCCCGGAGTTGGAATAGATAGTATCAGATGGCATAACATTGATACAGAAACATAACTCGTATGCATCATTATTATAAGCAAGAATCTTCTGATGTCTGTGGTAAAATATAATACCAGCCTCAAGCGCCTGCAGTTGCCGTCGCCATCGCCATGTGTGTTCCGCGCTTCACCTTGGCCTCTCGGCAGGCAATAGGTCTCCTATACGCTACGTTGATGTGCAACATGTTTGCTAGAAGACGGACCCGTAGCCTTCGTCGGCCACGGCCACACGACAGGCTTAAATGTGTTCAAGACACCAGCGAGCTGTCAGGGGGTTCCGTCTTGCAAGCAAAACTTATTCATGAGCCAGGCTGCCAAAGGATTAATAAATAAAGCGAATCTAGAGGTGCAGCCCAACAGCCATTAGTAGCATTAGCAGAACGGCAATGTCTGCTCGGAAGCTGCGCCTAAGCCCGAAACCGTTGGCCATGAGAGGTCTGATCTTGTTCAGTGAGGTCTTTGGCTTCTTCTGCGCTGTGGCGGGCCCTGCTGTGGCCCTGGCATTTCCGCTGCTCTTCTCAGGCTCTCCCGGTCTTAGGGCTTAGCGCCTCAGGGTTTTAGAGTTCAGTGTTCACGGGGCTTTTCAGAATTTTATGCACCAGGCTCAGAGTGCATTCCGCGCTGTGTCAAGGTAGCAGGGCAACAGTACCTCGAATGAACGGTTGACGTTGTTTGCGGTGCGCTGATGAACGTGGGCCTTCTGGCTTCATCCCGTTCAGCTGGCGCACATGCTGGAATCAAGGCTCAATCGCTAGCAGGGCACACCAAGTCCTAGAGATCAAACAGCTAGACTCATGTCTTTGTCTGAATCAACCCACGTCTTCTCATCCTACTTACTACATTCCAGGGATCCCGGAAGGAGCGGTGCTGCGGCGATGCGGCGTGGCACAGAGTTGGTGGCGGCACGGACTCCACGGCCTCTTGTTACAAGACCAAGAGGTATATGATATGTCATATGTAATTTTGTCGTGCAGCTGGGTACAAGAAGACATGATGTAAGAAGCTTGTCACCGTCGGTCGAGGGAGTGTGAGATGGAAGACACATCGTTCTGCCAGTTGCTTTTTTTGTGCCGAGTCAAAGCTGGTTGGTCTCGGGCCTCTAGCACACGTCAGGGCACTTCTGATGAAAAGGCTGCCGGTCGTGTCAGATGTCACATGGTCAAAAGTCTCGTTCAACCTGACCTCCTATCCATTCGATTCAAGTTGGCCGCTGCAGACGAATAGACCATAATAGACCTCTTCCCTAACGTCCATCTTCGTAGGAGGTGCAGCCAGAATCTTGGTACACCCTTCTGCCCCCCCTCTTGCTTTCGACCTCCATCCGCCTCAGTTGAAACCCGAGGCTTGATCATTGGGCTCAGTCTTCTCTGTGGCTCAGAAGCAGTCGGCAGGCCTTTGCCCAGGGCAGCCCAATCTTGATATTAAACCCTAAGCCCTAAACCCTCATAAAAAAAAAGCCTAAACCCTAATGTCTGAAGACTTGTTCTGCGGCTTCGCGTCTTCGTCGTAGCCGCAGTATTTCTTGTCAAGACTACTGTCAGTAGTTACTTTGTGCCAGCTCAGACCCCCCAAAAAGTGACAGAGCACCTGGCAGTCGTGAAGCCCCCAAGACCACCCCATGAGTCCAAAATGCGCATCGCATCGCGGCGCGAGCACGATTGGCGCCCCAAGTAATGATTTAGTGTTGCTATTGTTATTACTCTTACGGTTATTGCCGTGTTGATTGGTGGTGCCTTTGTTACTGAGCGCATATTTACAGGGCTTATAGGGCTTCTGTTCTCAACCTCCAAGGCATGGTCGCCGGCATTTACACCTCGGTGGTGGATCTGCTGGAAGGGCAATGAAGGGTTCGCGTGACTTTGACAGGCTCTATTGTAATAATGATAGCAATAATAAGAGCATTAATAATAATATTAATACTAATAATTATAGTATATTATTAATAATAAGAATGATAATAACAATAACAGTGGTCTGCCTTTGCAGACCTCATTATTCGTTTTTGATCCAGGGAGTTTCCGAGAAGAAAGGCTCCCTACCAGCACCTTCCTAGTCTTGCAAGTCTGTATTCAGGGTCCCTTCTTTTGAGAACCTCCCAGATATACAGTTTGAAGCAGACGTCTAGTCGGATGACCGCTCACAGCCTCACAGCCCCACGTACAGTTTTGCATCCGCTTCGGTGCAGGGGGCTCCAGCGGTCGAGGCTAAGGCAAATAAAGCGCAAAGGGAGCTTGGCCGGGAACTGCAGGCCACTCCAGGTGAATTCGCCGTTCCTCGCTCGACGGTTGGCAGCTTGTGCGAAAACCAGGGGTGCGGGCAGCGTGTCAGTCTAAGCTAGTAGTAGTAGTAGTCGCCGTCGTCGTCGCCGTCGTCGTCGTCGTCGTTTTCGTCGTCGTAGTAGTAGTAGTAGTAGTAGTAGTAGTAGTAGTACTAGTAGTAGTAAGCCTAAACCCTCTGAGCCCTGTCAGAACCAAGCCCCTTTCTTTCAGAACCCTGCAGGAACCCCAACTACCAAGGGCAATCTTAAAGGCACCCCACGCTGCCCTGCACATACGAGCTCAAGGCCTAAACCCTGGACCCTAAACCCCTACGCCCAGCATGCGAGGCTTGTGCCGAGAAAGCTAAGCTGGTGCAAGCGACTGAGCCAAATGTTGGCCCCGCGATCTATACGTATATATATATTTACGTGTATATGTGTATACATATATGTGTGTATATATA